ATTTCGTAGGCCCTAGGCACGTGCCTAGTGTGCCTATAGGTTAATCCGGCCCTGTATACATATAATATATTATATATTTATATATATATATATATATTATGATGTATTTTATTATATTTATTATATAAATTAACGTATAAAACTGAATTACTTTTGTAATGGAAATAAATTTACCAAACGTTTTCAGTCCCTTAACTTTAGAACACGAGCTGTCCCCAGTTTTAATTTCTATCACACATTGCGCAGAATTCTATAAAGTCACTGATCACTGGCTACAGCCCAAACGACACATGAGTATTCTTCTCAGATATCCTAAGGGAATAAATGCGGATATCCGATACTGTACCCAATGAATTGAGATCATTTAAAGGAAGCGTCTCACTCACTCACATTACTTAATTTTATTTCAAGTAATAAAAAAATCGTGATAGGTTCTATATAACTAAAAATGTAAAGATTTTTTTCATTCACTGTAATACGATTTAAAATAATGAATGGGTAATTATCGCACGCGAACGAAATAAAGTTTTTAGACACTAAAATTAACAAAAGTAATTTACGTTTGTTTTTAACGCGTTGAATGCTATTGGAGTCACGGGTGACCGGTAGTGAGTTTGTTCCTAGCGCCACGAGGGTCACCGGTGACAGGCGAAGCCAAGATACTTAGAAACACATAATTCGTGTAAATTTTTAATTTTTTTAAATATTATTATCGTTACTAAAATGGTTTGAAGAAATTAATGCATTATAGAACGCACAAAAATAGTTTTATTTATATACACAGAGATGTTCCCGACAGCGAATAAATATTTTCAAGTGGCAGTTTATTAATTGTGATTATTGGTTAATAAATTCAATTTAGTAGATTTTTTTCCACCATTATTTCTAAACTATTCATAGGCTTATATAATTCACCACTTTTTTCAGATATGTTACACTAAACCTTCTAAAAAACTAGCAAAATCTGTCTAATATTTGCAAAATTTAGTTTGCAGTTATTTACCGTTGTGGGCAGACGGGTAAGTTATGTAAAATTTGCGTGGCATTCAACCTGTTAATAAAATGTAAATGTGGTAAGAATAATCGATTAAAGATTAAGTGCAAATGCTTATTTCGGGGATGATGTATTAAGTTCATTTATTGTTATAAAGTATTATGAATTTTCTTCTTATTTTTATTATATACTTTAACCGGTATGTACTAAAAAGATGGCACAAATCTTTCAATGATTGATAAAAGTTTTGAATATAATATTCTTTATCCTTATCTTTAGAAATGAATGAACAAAACATAACAAACACAGTGAAAACTTCTCGAGAGCGATCTCTCTCTCTGTTCCTCAGTAAAATGATCGATAATGGAGGTTGATCATTCTTAGGGGTTAACTCCATTGACTTAAAAATGTAAAAGAAGGTAAATGATTTTTTGCAAATGATTTTAGTTCTCGTTAGTGTCATTTTCTTGGTGACGAAATACCACTTGAAGTTGGAGTCATGAAAGCCAGATCTATTAATAAAGTGTAGCGTCAATAAAAATGATCCTTACTGATATAATTATGATAAAAAAAAAAAAAAATTTACCAATTATGAATGATGAAAATATTTTGAATAAATAAACAATTATATTTTTTGTTTAAGTTAGCACTTAATTTTGTATCATAAAAATTAGTTAACTTTAAAAGATGAGAAGAGGTTTGTTTGTTTGAAATGCTTACTTTTTTCCAAAATGACTTTTTTTTTAATTTGACTTTTTTTTAAGTTTAACTTTTAACTCTAAAGATAAATCATTGATAGCATCGTCGTTAGTGCAGTATGAGGTTGTAGATCTCTTTCAATGATCGTAAAAAGAGATGCTGTTTTATTTTGATACTGGGAGGCTCCGCCCCCTGCTCGCTAACGCTCGCCAACCAACGAGAATTGCTAGGCAATCCTATGTGGTTCACGCCGTGAACCATGACTCGCTGCGCTCGCTCGCCAATGAGAACAATGTTCTAGCACAAAGACATAATATATTATCATCAAAGACATAGTATTTTATCATCAAAGACATAGTATTGTACTTCTGTAGAAGATTTCTTCCAATGTTCTTATTGGCTTTTAAAAAGTATATTAGCTATTTAGATTGTACATGGTGAAAAAATCAAAACATTAGCTAAATAAGAAACATATTAGCAAAATAAATTATCAAATATTGCTTCACTAATATTCTGCATTTTAAAGCGTGAAAATTCAATGCATAAATAAACGCGAAATATAAAAAAATTCAATGCATTCAATACAAACACTTAAACGTTTTTTAGACGTTTAGGTAGCTCCCAGTAGAAAAATATCAATTCAACAGCGGCCTTTTAAAGCATTCTCACTTCAATTAATTAATTAATTCCTAATTGAGTTTAAATTAAATATTGTCATGTTTTTAGTGCATGAATCTGAATTGAACAACCTGATAATGCTAACTCTGGTTATTGTTATCTGGTTGCTCACTACGTGCTTTTGCTCGCCGGATCCAATCGATTAAAAATGAAAACTGTTGCCAGCGCGAGAAAAGAAATATCATTGATTTTATTGATACATACATACATACGTACGTATTAGCGTTTTATATAATATAGATTTTTCGTGTTTTCTTATTTGACCTGTTCTGCGTTTGGTGCAGAGCTTTGCTCGGACGCTGGAAGAGGCTTCGTTTGTCTCTTCTTAAGATTTTATTCAACACAAAGTCTACGGAAAAAATTCCGCGCCTCCTGAAAGTGGTCACAAATAAAAGAGATCATTGCATAAAAGTAGGCTTTCCTGGTAGTTTCACTGTAATAATAAGCGTAAATTGTAATAATAAGAGTAAATTGTAATAATAAGAGTAAATTGTAATAATAAGAGTAACGTTTATTGAAATTTTCTAATTTAATCTTCCAGCTTTTGTGTTATAACGATTGTGTTCCCAGCAAATTAACGATTTCATACCGCCGTTTTCTTAGCTTTAACAACTCTGAAATTGCAGATCTTTTGACTGACAATGTAAACAAGCCAGAAAATAATAGATAAACTAAAAGATATAACTACTTCGTAACAAAATGTTTATTTCTATAAAAATACAACATTATTATATTAAATAAATACTTAATGCGCAACTAACTATTTACTTAAATAATTAAGGCTATCTAGCAAAATGAGTATAACCAAATACTTAACGTAAAACTAGGTAATTATTTAAGACTACTTAAATTATTACTTGAGACAGTCGAACAAAAAAGATTAATATAGATTATTAGTTTGTGGTCAATTTGGATCGAGTGATACCATCGTTTTTGTTGCCACGTAAGAGAAACAAATATATAGATTTTGAACAAAAATATTTTAAAATCATCAAACAGAACAAACCAAAATATATGTGTGTTCCAATCAGTAACTGTTCGCAAGATGTCAATAATAATGTAGAAAAAAATCACTCCCGAAGGAGATTAAGCAAATTATATGCAAATGTTTCATTTATTTTAATGTCCAAAAACCATTACTTGGCTTAACCATCTGTTCTCACATAAGAACGTAATTTTTTTTCTTTCGTGTTCAGGTGTGCATGCATATAGTGTCACCTGCCCTTTTCCGCGAAAACGGTATTGTTTGCAGATAACTATTGTTACAAAAATAATTATTGTAACAAAAAAGATTATTGTTTGAAGGCAGTTGTTTTAAAGATAATTATTACTGAAATAAAGATAATTATTGTTTGAAGGCAATTATTGCTTTAAAGATAATTATTTCTGTAATAAAGATAATATTTTCAATGAAACTTATTGTAGGAAAACTATTGTAATTCAAATAATTAATGTATAATTATTTTTATTAAGAAAAACTTACCCATTCCGGTGGGTTCCCATAAGCATCTAAGTAAGATTTTCCACTCGTTGTTTTTCCATTGGGGGGCTGGACTAGAGGAATTTTAAATCCTATCATACAAAACTTTCCCTTGAAATTTTCTGATTCGGAATTATATCTCACTTGCAAACATTCGTCAAAATTTCCAAAGTCTGTCACTGTACCAGTCATTAGGCCGCTAGGAATTCTACCAGTTGCATCTATCACTATCAGGCACAAAAGTCAAATGAAAGTTTAAAAAACTATGATTTTTAAGTAGATTAATGCGAAAAAAATGAATTTATATTGAATAAATGATTCCAAGAAACTGAAGCGGATAGATAATGCTTAACTAAAAGCTTCACTTCGAAATTGTACAAATTGGAAAACAACAGTCGTTCCAGCCCAACTATATTTTTTTTGATTCGAATGAAGTTTTTAATGAATTAATAACTTCATATTATTTTTACGTAAAACGGAAAATGAGGGTTACATCAGTATTAAAAAGCGTGAGAAAGAAAGTTTTTCGGTTTTTATAAGTGTTTGTTACTTTTTAAATCTGTCAAAAATAGAGTTGCTTCTTCCTTGGGCAGTTCTAAAAGGTGGATGCACTGAACAAATTTAAACTTTAAGCTAAAATTTAAATAATAAAGTTTAAATTTAATTCACAATTAAAATTCTTGAGTAAATTATGAAATTTTACAGCTATTTTTTTATACCATAGGAATTAGCATAAATTATTGAATACGTTTTCTATAAATATCTTTTAAAAAAATTTTCCAATCCAATCTGACAATTTTAAGCATTGATGATATTAATTAAGTCAATGTAAATTTTATTTTTAAATAACTTCTATACTCTAAATTTTTATACTCTACATTCCAATTGTTTAAATCAAACAATTACTTTACTATATCTTTAAAAAATGGTAGTAATAGATAAGTCACATTTTAATGCTTGAAAGATTTTTAGAAAAAGTTTACTTGAAAAATGTAGGTTTTAAATTTATTTGATTTTATTATTCTAACAGTAAGCATTAAAATAACTTTATTTTAACACTTAACGCTTTGAATTGAGAATACATATATATTTGCATAGAGAACAAGAACTTGTGCTTACTTTTGATCGCCCAAGGCTCCCACGTTTTTATTCCTTCAAAATACAATAATAAACTATTAACGCATGACTCATTGATATTTCTAATTGTTAATGAAGAATTCATATACGGTTGTATCCATTCTGCAATTGTATGCGTTGACCACAAAGATTTTTTCATAAACTTTTCCCAAGTAATTTCTTTATCACCATCCTCACCGAATTTCTTATTAATTTCGGTTGAATTAGTTGTTATCAAGAAACCTAGCAAAATCAATAAATATAGAACATTTCTCATAGTTTTTTATTCACTTTTCAACCATACGATATTCAAAGAAATGAGTACGCTGAATTTAGACTTGAGACACTACTGACTTCAAACGACCTAAGACGAATACCACATGAAAAACATAGGATTAAGAAGACAAATGCAACATTTAGTATTATTTTCCGAGTAAATTTCTTGATTCTCTAATTAATTTTCAGACATAATATCTATCTATGAACGTTATCATTTAATTTATTGAAATTATAAGAAGATAAAAGGCTATTGACTAATTTTTTTCCTTAATCATCTTGAAAATAATTACAAATTATCATTTCTCATTCCAAATATCATTTTCCTCATTCCTTTAAAACCATTGTTTTTACTAACTTAACTACATAATCAATCTCTTATTTTTTATCAGGGTGAGTAAATGTAATAAACGATATATAAAGTTTCCTTTAAGAAATGTTTGAAGTAGAAATTTATTGATGGCCCTTGGAAAGGGCAAAATGTTCTTTTTAAGGTATTGTCATTGTTACAATAAAACCCTGGTTGTAATCAATAGACGTATTGTTCACTCCAGTTTTAGCCACATGCATTTATTAGAATCTGAACCTGCACTTAATTGTTCTCTATGAAGTGTTGACATTACTACTGATGATATTTTAGATGACTGCAAACGATTAAGACACTTGAGAAACCAACTTTTTGGCAGCTTTTATCCTGATCTTCAACCTTTGATTTGGGATCCTATACATCACCTTTTAAAGTTTATCAAGACTATGAAACTTTATTCTTTACATTAAGACAAAATTTGTTAGATTAACCTGGATTTTAACCTAGTGACTGGCGCAGTATAACCATTTCTGGCTCTTGTGTTAATGAACCAACCAACAAGCTACAATAAAACGTTCGATATGGACTGTCTTCAATATGAGGAAAAATTTAGTTAATATTTAAATAAAGACAAACTTTAGTTTTTAATGGTGGAATTCCATCGTAATAAAATTAAATAAATTGCAGAGTTAAATAATGAAAACTTTGGACGCAGGGGAAAAATTAAATTGCATTTTTTTTTTGTCGAAAACGTCACGTACGACTATTTTTTTAAATCATTTTTACCAGGTCAGACTGTAACAAATGAAAAAGAATTTAAAAGATTATTTTTGATCCCTTGATCTTTTATTTAAGGTTAAATTTTTGTTTTTCACTTTTATCTAATTATTTTTTTCCTCTTAATATATTTTTGATGATGGATTTATTCGATACTATTATATCACACGGAAAACAAAGGCGTCTCTTTATTGGATAAGGAGAAATATGACTTGATTATTTTCAGATGTTAGTTACTAAAGGTTTTATTTTGAAAGTAATACTATGAATTTTTTGTATAGTTTTATTTGCGGTTTTGGGCAACTTAAAACTACACATTTATATGTTTTCAGATTGTTTAATATGTCATTTAATTGCTGTTTAAACTAATGAAATCCGATTTGTGGGACGTTAAAAAGTTTTTCTTTTTACGTAAATTATGCAAAGCAAATATATTAAATAAAAACCGAAAAACAGACACCAAACTGCTTTTTGAAGAATGCAGATTGCAGAACTGTGTTGGTATGATTTTTTTTTCAGAAAAAAACATGAAGAACGAATCAAAAATATTGCAGGCTTTGATCTCATATTGTGATTGGATGACGACCTTTCATTTTGCATGATTTAAAAAATATTCCCGAATAGAGTAAATATCTACCATCAGTTAGTGAAAATTAAGGAAAAAGGATTAAAAGAATATTTAGAACCCGTTTAACCCATCTTAATATCACTTACCCATTAAACAGTTGGGTACGGTTGGACCGAAAAAAGCCTTTCAACTCCCATTGACTAAAATATAAATAATTTCTCTTAAACAGACCGAAATTCCTAATTTTCTCTATATTGGATTTTTTTGAACAGTCTATTAAGTCTGGTTAACTATCTTATAATAAGAATAACTTTTGATTTCTGGATCACAATTCACTTACTAAGAGGTTTGTAATTAATAGGTTTGAGAGTGACATCTTCTGACGACGCTAATGCTAATTTAGGATTCACTAAATAATTTTGATACATTTTTAAAAATGCATGCATCTTTTTTTTACTTTTTTGTCATGTTGTCAAATTTCTTGTGAAACATTTTATAAATGCTTTAAAAACTTTTTAAAAATATTTTCCTTTCCATAAAATTAAAAATTTCGTGCCTTTGTATTATTATTGATTAACTTTTAATACAATTATTCCTAATTTAATTTTTTTATATTAGTAATTCACAAAACTAAAAAAAAAAAATCGATGTTTAAACATGCATATTTTTCTATTCGATTATTTTTTGAAAGATACAAACTTTTAAACTTCTTGAAGGCAAATTTAAATAAAGTATATAATATATACTATTCCAAATTTCATTGAGATATGAGTTTAAATTTGATAAAAGAGATAAAAAATTTATCGAGAAAAAATTATTTGAAATTAATTTGTTACTAAATGCAAAAATTTTATCTCGTTTTCTAATTCAGATACTAACACAATGTTCCCTCCATTTTAAGAAGAGCTAATAACGTTATTCTTTGAAAATAACAAGTCAAATACATAAAAGGGAAATCATTTTCAATTTTCGAACATTCCAAAGTTTCGAAATCAGGCACAAAAGCGCATGTTCTTAGAGCATACACATTTTTTTATATATATTTGTATGTCCCTGAAAAATTGAGGTTAAGTGTGATCTACGAAATTCAAAAAAGTCAAAAATCCGAGCCTCCTAAAATTTTAACATGTTATGTAACTAACTGCAAATTACAAATTGTTTTCATCTATTTGTAAAGCTCTTTTACGGAGCGTCTTTTCTTTATAAAGTTTTTTATAGTTGCTTTTTTCATTTAATTTAACGGTAAAGACCATAGTTACAAGATTTGAAAAAAAATTTACGATCTTTTAATATAGTTCCAAGTGACAAAATAAAAAATTTAAACGAAATCAATTGAATTGATTGAGAAATTAAAGACTTTCTTTTTTAAACTTTTACTCTTAAAAAGTTTTTTTCTTGGCAATTATCAATTAGACTTTATTAACACGAAAATAGTTGCAACTACACTTTACACCCAGGTGGTGTAATGAAACTGAGTGATTTTCATCTTTACCGATATTTCAAACATAAACTCGGTGCAATTACTATAACGATGCCGAATACGGGAAAACAACCGTAACCTCTTGGCTAATGAAGCAGGTGGCAAGTTTGTATGAATAGGGCATTCTAAAACTAGTTGTATGGTGGCAAGTTGCATGGATGTCCAGATATTGCACTGAGTGATTTTCATCTTTACCGATATTTCAAACATCAACTCGTCGCAATCACTACAACGATAAAGAAAACGTGAAGACAAACGTAACCTCTTGGCTAATGAAGCAGGTGGCAAGTTTGAATGGAAATGGTAATCTAAATCTAGTTGTAAGGTATTAGTGTTTAAACAAACTTGGTAGCAATGCTGGAGAAAAGAAAGAGGAACGTATGCAGAATCTGAAAATAAATTTGCTTCTTGAAAATTTTCCTTCGCTTGGTTTTTAATTTCAAACGGCCCTTAATTTTAAAAAAAAAATCCGCTTAAATAAGAGAAAATAAAAATAAGAGACAGTAATAATAAGAGACATAAGATAAGACCAATAAAAATAAGAGACAGTAATGGTATTTTTTCCAACGCAATATAAAGTAGTAATCATTAATTAAGGATACACACTCACGCTTATACTTAAAATAAGGTTGTACACATACACAAGAGAGAAAACACTAATAATAATTCGAACTGGGCTTTAAAAAACGAAAGTGAATAAAAATATATTATAAAATTATTTAATTCAATTGACAGCTTTATATAAATCTTCTTACAAGAACACAATTATCTTTATTGCATAAACTTTCCTGCCTTTTGTCACGGTTAACTTCTGCTTCTGGAAAAGATAAGACTTTCAAAGGTTGACAAACTTTCACCTTATCGTGCTCAATTAAAAACAATCTACCGTTTTCATCTGTTTCCAAACGTACGCCAAAATTGCCATCTGAGCTTGTGGTAAACTTCCTCGATTATCGGTGCCTAAATTCACCCTTTAAAAATTGTATGGAAGTTTGATACGGTATTAACTCGAAACAAAGTAGTCATTCACACGATATTTATAGAAGTTTTTCAACGCAAAATTCGGATAGGTATTACACCGCAATAAGTAGTTGCCACAATTAACTGCTAAGTACTGAAATGAAGTAAACTGACTGGAATTAGTATTCTGTTAAATTTTATGTAGTGGATAAAGTTGTTCTTTGACAGCTATTTCATCATATAAAATGTTCTTTTAGTGAATAATAAGCTACTTTTATAACTATTTCAATTTTGTAGCAGTTATTCATGACTGTTGTGCAAGGTTTTGTCCATCTTTAATCAGCTCCCTCTGTTGATAATTATGAAAATGGCCAGAAAGTCAATAAGAAAATTAACTTTTCTGAAATAAAAAAGCATTAGCGATAAAAACTTTTGACCCTTTCACATAGAATTTTTATTAAACGTATACGTCATGCTTTTTTACATTATTTCGCATTAATAAGTCAAAATAAATGAAATCTGTAATATTTAGCATTTTAATGATTGATGGGTTAAGAAATATAACATGAGCCACCGGAGTATTAAAATCTTCTAAACAATTTTTCAAATTTGCATTTACTTTTAGTTATTTAGATCCAAGGGGAACAGTTATTCCTCATTGAAATTTCCTTAATTTACGAAGTTAATTATGGATAAGTTTTTTTAATATGAATCAAAAAAAGTTTTTGAACTACTTTTTTTTAGATTTTACATTTAGTACAAATATAATTCTAATGATTTAACAGATTGCTTTTATTAACTATCAGACTATTTTGTAACTAAAAAATACCAAAATATACTTTTGCGAGTAATTAGAACGACAGAAAAAAATCTATAAAAAGGGCACCGGTGTCTCTTATATGCGTTGCAGGGTTAATATTTCCAGAGAAACTTCAATGCTAAATTGTTTAGGCTATTAAAAATCTGCACAAATTGAGAATTATTAATTTTAACGTTTTTGTCTTTGGAAAAAAAACAGCATTGGTGATTTCTTAAAAATTTAATTTTAAAAAGTATTTGGAATATTTATCTGTTTTTAATTCCAGTCAATTATTTCATTTACATAGTATATGTATTTTAAAATTAAAACTTAGCTTTTAAGTGGAAAATAATCAACCTGAACAACACAAGAAATCAAATAAAAACCCTCAATAATTCAACAAAACACTTTAATAAATAACAAAATGTAAAATATAGCCAGCTATATCACTATTAACAATATTGTCCTGTATGAGGTAATATTAAATATATACAAACAGAAATCAAAATTTTGATAAAGTGTTTTCAAAATGTTCCGAACTTTGTACTACAGCTCTGGTGATATAAATTAACAGATGTAAAAAGAAATAAGTTAATATCGTTACGGAATATTTTTAACATGCGGTGGAGAAATTTCTTTTTGGTTGGAATCATCTGGATTTGGTTTTACTGATGAACTTGTCTTGAATATCATTCCTTCAAGATTTGTGAATGGCATTTCTACTGTGATGTATCCAATGAATGCCAAAAAGAAACTGACTAGTGTGTATGCCAAATATTCAAAAACCTGTAACAAAGATTTTAGTAGCTTAATAATCAAAAATGTTCCAAATCAAACTTTTTTGAATAAGATATGCATTAATTTTCTTTAATTCCAGTCCCCATTCTACTTAAAAATTAAAAGTTTGCTAATTAGGTAAATTTCAATTGTATTGTGAGTATAATCAATTTAGAAATGCTTTTGAAGAGTTAAAAAAATTTCTTTAATAAAAGGGGAGAATACTTTTAATGGAATTTAGATGCATAATTGCAAATTTGAATTCCTATTTAAAAAGTTTCTGAGTTAAGTTTGTGTTACATAATTGCATTTTAATGTCTTAATTTTTGACAGAAATTAGAAAAAAATATTTATTTCCTAAACTCAGGCTTCCTCAATAATGATTAGCCATATATTGATAACGTTTGTTTTAATTTTTCAGAGCGAAAATAATTTTTTGAATCATAAATGTGTGCATATGTGTGATCCATTAACGTTCCGTATTTACGAACCTTAACATGTAAAGATTGATTAGTTATCAAAGTTGAAGACAAAAAAAACAATGTAATAAATGTAAGCTAATAGGAAAAATTAAGACGCTAAAGAAATCTAAGGAATTACAACCGAAAAGTGGGGCAAACTATTAAACCTTGATTGAACCTAGAAGAAATAGGAGGGAAAAAGTGATTATTATAAGCATCAAAATTTCCTCTGGCAATCAAACTGGTTTTGATCTTCCCCGTGAATGATTAGTATATTGCGATATCATTTTGTTTTATTCCCAATTAAATACTTTGCGAAGAACTCAAAAAATATACATTAAAGGAATTCATTACAGGTTTTTACAAACTGTACGATTTTGCCCTCATTTATCTGAAAAGTTTTCCATTTATGATTGATAATAAAAGAACTTATATGTGCATTTTTTTTTTATAAAGTCATATTTACATAACAATGGAAAAAATTCCTTGTTGATAGTTAAAATATTCTTTATTTAATTTCGGACGAGAGTTCTAAATAAAAAAAAAGCTTGAAACTGATTACTATAAATGAGGCTCGTAAAAATAATACTTATTTAAACAATCAAGCAACCAATAATTGTGTAAAATTTCTATTTTATAAAAAAAAATTTCAGATGTTTTTTTCAAGATTTTTTTTTAAACTGTACAAAATCCAGGAGAATTTTATTAAACTAGAAGACCGGGAAAAACTGGCAAAATCCAGTTGTTTACTAACGTATCCAGTAGAGTTAACAGCTAGGAAATTAGGAGATAAAAGAATCACTTTTCAGTTCCTCTCTTTCTACAGGCAATCAAAAAGGTTTTAATGTTTATGGTCCAGATTCTTTTAATCGTGATTCTTTAGATTTCAGTAGCATTTTTTTTTCTTTCCTCAACCAATAATGTTTGTCCCTTAAAATATTTACTTTTGCTTGATTTTTATAAAAGATTTCAAAAATAAACTTTAAGGATGGTCATTATGGGACACTATGTACAGTACGAGGGGGAAAAAACAGAACACCCTAAATAACCTTCGTTCTAATGATTGGATCTTCACGTTCTAGGACTCAATCTTAATGGCCCAAGGGGGTGATCTCAAATATGCTAATTAATTAGTGCACGCGATGTTTTTAGTTACGAAATCAGATCAAAAAACGTACTTTCTCTGAATAAATATATATATTTTTTTCAATGGATTTTTATTTCTGACCTTCAAAATATGGGGGGTAGCCGCAATCTGGGAAATACGGTCCCCATATTTTGGTCAGGAGAGCGATAAAACTTTGGACCCATAATGTTAATTTTTCTTTTTGCGTATTTTACCATATCTGGAGAAACTTTTTAGCGAATTGAAAAATCTTTCCATACAATTATGAAATAAAATTTGTTTATCCAAATATAATGTAATGCAAAGATTAAATTTTAGTAAATATTTATTACTTATTTTGAGAAATCGAATTTAAAATATATAACTTTTTGATAATTCGATTTCTCAATAAGTGTCAACCGATTTCGCTCAAATTTTATATTTAGCTATGCAAACTACGTACTTGAAAAAAAAATGTAAAAAAATTGTATCTGATTACCTCACTTAATTCAAAAATGTTTCGCCTATTATTAAATAAAATAATAAAAAAATAAATGTTTACTAAAATTTATTTTTTGCATGGAATTATCTTCAAATGAACGAACTTTATAATTGCGTGCAAAAATATTTTAATTCACTTAAAAAAATTTCGATATATGGTGAAATGTGCAAAACGTAAAATTAACATTATGGGTTCCAAGCTTTGAACCGCTCTCATAACCAAACTACTGGGACCATATGTCCTAGATTGCGGCTACCCTGTATTTTGAGGGTCAGTATCTTGTGCTTTGAGAGTCTTTACCTCTATATTTTGAGGGTCAGTAATCCGAATCTATTGAAAAAAAGGTAAGTTTATTCAGAGAAAATCTGATTTCTGATTTCGTTACTTAAAATATCGTCTGCGCAAAGTAATTAATATAATTGAGGTCACCCCCGTGAACCATTAAAATTGAACGTGAAGTCATTAGATCAAAAGTTATTCAGCATGGTCAGTTTTTTTTCAGTACACTTTACACTAATGGAATAACATTCGGAAAAAACATTAAATTCTAGTCACTATGTATTAACCAATCAAACTATTATATCAAAAAGCATATACAAATTAAAGAATAATATTTGAATTAACTTACGAGATCTGTATGTCCATAATACACCCTCTCACGCAAAGAGGCTGTTCTGTAAAGTATTACGAGTGGATGAATGAGATAGACTAAATAACTCAGATGACCCAAGGGAATGAAAGGTTTCCAGGATAAGAATCTGTTTATTATGCCTGAAAAAATTTAACTTCTAAAGTACCTTGAATAGTTTCAAAATTTAAAATCAAATTGCAAAATATTTTCATACACTATTTAAGCAAACCAGCTAGGTTTACTTATTTTTCACAATGCTTTTATCAATACAATTTTATTATTATTGACAGTAGAGTCTTGCAATAAAAGTTTTGACCAGTCTCTGATTAGCAGCGATTCCTAAATCTTTTCGGCTATGAAAGCCTAAATCATCGGCATTTTATGAAGGAGCCCCCAAGTCTTAGCGAATAGTTTTGATTAGCAATAGTCAATCAAAATAAAAATATTAATCATTTTGAAACTATTCAATAATTAAAATTTTATGAGCCGTGATGACTCAGGGGATAGAGCTTTCGCCTTTTAGCTAGGTGAACCGGGTTCGAATCCCGGCGATAGCTTGTCGATATGAATTTAACTTGCATCGACCACAGTGCTGACGTAAAATATCCTCAGTGGTAGGCGGATCATGGATTGGATTTCTCTTGCCGTCAGGCTAATCGTGAATGGTTTTCGCGGGTTTCCTCTCCTTTTAACGCAAATGCGTGTTAAGTCCATCAAAAAGTCCTCCACCGGCAAATTTCTTGCAAGACTTCATCCAGGAGTTCCCTTGTCTTCCGGATTGAGTACAAAACTACAAGGCCACTGAGTTGTACATTAGTAGTTGTATACCCAAAAAAATTTGTTCGAGTGCTCAACGACGGTTATAAAATTAAAATATTATGAATTTTTTTGAAAATAAGAAATGAATGAAGAATAATTTTTTTTTCATCATTTCATTTCATCAACTTTCTTAAAATTGGGTTTTATGTCAGGTTGACAGCGCCATCCTGTCCAGTTTTGAATTTGATTTTCCTGTCTAGATTTTAATTTGACTTTGTCAAGTTTAATTTTATGAAAATTGAAAATTAATGAACTGAAATATGGTTCCCGTTGACAAAAAAGAAAGCCGAAAGAAGACGAAAATAAGCGTTGAAAATGGTTAGAAAAAAAAACTTCCACAAGACAGCAGCGCAACACACAGAAATATCTTTTTACGTACATGAAAATCGTGATGTTTTTCCCAATAACGCTTTCATTATTATTTAAAAATTTAAATGAACATATTGTCCCAACTTCTTCAATTATATTGATAACACAATAATGCTCTCCTGTATTACATGAGAATTTATTCATATTGCCCCAACTTTTTCAATTATATTGGTACAAATTATAGGGAAATAGAAACTTTTCTAATAAATTGTCAATGCGAAATAAATTCTTAATTCACACCTAGAATGGGGTTTAACCTCTTATAGTTTGTCTATAGAAAAAACTCCCTTCACCACAAAGTATAAAGCCAACTGCTAACAAGAAACAGCGCATTTCAAGGAGGGAAGCTTCTCGTTCTCACCTAATTTTTTCTCGCCGATACCAGTTAAAACCTGTCTGAAATATTGACCCAGCTTCCCCACTTTAAACAGTTAAACCTCGTAACCATAGTCACCGCCACTGTTCCAGACAAATGGCGTGAGAAATTCTTTCCACAGACAGAATATACTTCACACTGAGAAGATCTTCGAAGCTAGGAAAGAAATTCAACTCTATTACGTAACGATCTCTGCTTTATATATGATTGGGAGAAACATATATGGGGAGAAATATATATAGGAAGAAATATATATAGGAAGAAACCTCTTTGCAAGCTTCGGAACCTATTTAAGTTTATACTCAGAGCTAAAAAGAGACAAATATTTACGTTTTTGCTTTAAGCTCGGTTAACAGTTAACTTCGCAGTGTTACAAAATGAAAACACTAGTTGTCCATTACCTCCATTTCCAGTTATACAAGAGTAAGCAACCCAGCAAACACCAAAAGTCCAGCCAATACGGTGGAAGCCAATGTAAAATGATCGGACAACGATCGAATCTGCTGGTCCATATAGTCCATAAATAGAACACAAAGAACTAGTAAGAGCTAAAACCCATCCAAGTATTTGATAACGCTGTGAAGAAAAAAAAACAATTTCACTTTTAAAATTAGTTGTAGCAAATAGATAGTATTCTTTATAAATTACCCTTTCTAATAAAATTTAAAGAATATTTTTTTTTCAAAAACATATACATGTTATTTTTACAGTGCTTTATCCGTTTTTCGATAGTGATATAGGGTGTCTCATTATAACCTCCTGAAATATGTTTTTAAAAACCTTGCAAAAATGAAACGCGTAGTAAATGGTGACTACTGCACGTTATATGTGTTGGGTCACAAAGTCCTTCAAATTCTCGTAACAAATAAATGCCTCTGGGGTACTGAATTGGAGGTTGATCGTTCTCTGTTACAGGTCAAAATTACGATCTGTGGAAGAATAAATGGAGTTTGAATGGGTTCTCCCTTTTAAAGGGGCTGTGACGTGTGTGGCTGAAACCGTATTCTTGGCCATAGATGGCGCCACTGAAAAACAAGAAACGCACCATCTATCATAAATTTGTTGGTTTCACCAAGCAGGCTTGCTGGTATTGGCAAGTGGCATTGGAAACAAAATTTTCTTACTTAAAATTTAATAAGTATATATTTTATAAACAAAACTTTCTACGAAAAAATACTTTTTAAGAGAGAAAAAAGAAGTAAAAGAGGCAACCATTGGGGTTGATGGACGGAGACTTCTAACCACGAAAAATTCTGCACTATTTATGTTCAAAAAAAGTTACATAAATTTATTCTTAGCAAAAAGAAATCTTAAATAGATGTACAGAAGCAATTTCCAGCACAAATTTAAAAAAAAAAAAAAAAAAAAAAAAAANAAAAAAAAAAAAAAAAAAAAAAAAAAAAAAAAAAAAAAAAAAAAAACAGATTCAAAATTATTGATTTTATGAGATCGTTATTTGCTGCCTATATGCTTCACTAAGCGATGTTATTGAACCCGAGCAACTCTGCTATAAGAACATCTATATGCCGATATATGCACACGAAGATAAATATTGGTAATAGTTAAAAGGATAATACTTCAATTTAAATATATTTCTAATTATTCATAATCTACCGTTAATCAAAATTTTAAGAGCAGTAAAAATTTTACTAGTAATTAAAGCGCCATTCAAATAAAGTAACTTACAGTAGCCATCCTCTTGTCTTTGTATTTTAAAACAAGATAAGCTGTGAGCATTCCCATGAAGTAAGTGACAGTGTGATTGAATGATTTTACATATATCTTTGTGTTGTAATCATCAACAATGCTGCAAAGAATACAATATATGTATAAGAAATTAAACGATTTGATTTGGCAATACATGTGTTATCAAAATATTTATAGTTCATATAAAATCGAAAAAGATGTTAAAACTGAAGAACTTAGTGGAAGCTCAAAGCATTGAACATCGTTGACATTGGCTTTTAAGAACATGTCAAATACCAAAATTTACCTTAACCTTTAAAAAATGGTTTTCAAAAAAAAAAAAAAAAAAAAAAAAAAAAAAAAATCCGGTTTTTAAACATCTTCCGGTTTTTATCAGTTGTAGGGTACATGAAGCCAAATTTGCCAACACGCAGAAAGAACGTCAGATTTTTGGTTTAAATAAATCCCCGACAACTAATAATACCCATAGGTTAGGTATACCAAATACGGCAATGACATGATCTTTAACAATAAAAATATCGAATACAATAATAACATACAATAACATTAAGTATCAAAAAAATAATACCGTGATTATTATACTTAACGATTATTACTGAATACGATATTATTGTGAGTAGAGATAAATTTTATTTGGGTAACAAAAATATCGACTAATGTAAAAAATCTATAAATTAGTTAAACAAGAGAAACATCGTAATATATTACTAAATATCGATATTTTTTGACGATAGATTATATTAAAATTTGTATTCATCAGTTATGGGGATCAGCGTCAGTTGGTTGTCTATAAACAAGATGTCATGTTAATATTCTGGATATTGCTGGCTAAGGTCCAGCTAGGTCTCTCTGCATAAGTTAAACTGTAAATTAACCTGAAGTTATTTAAATACAGCGCCGCATCTCGTATCGAATTAGTTAAAATATGGTTCTTTTTTGTCTGTTTTATTTAACCTAGATTTTTTATGTGCTTGCGCATTTTATTGTAACCGTGATTATTTTTGTTTTGTGTATCTGGAAACTTTGTTGCATAATTAGTTTATGTTCTACATTGCTTCGTACCAGTCTCTGTGCCAAGAAACAGACCAAATCTTTTTTTGTGAAAGAATGTAGAATGTGTCACTTAAAAGAATTTCTATTTGACGTGCTAAGCTTTGCTCGAAATAGAATGAAAAGAATAGTTGCGAACATAAACAAATGCCACGTATCCGCAGCGAATCAGGATCCATACCCACGATTACGTCTCTTCCGAGTATGCTCTTTAGTCAGAAAAGCTTCGTCGAAGGAAAGCTGCACCATCCTGTTTCTGGGCTCAAAATTTTTTTAAATTGTGTATCATTCCTTGTTTTTGATCATTTTTATATAGGAAATATCTCACCATAATGGTTTTTTTGTAAAATGAATCTTTTAAAATACTTTAAGTTATTCCTCCGTTCTAATACCCATATAATTCTTTATGGCAATATTGTAAACATAGTTTAAATCTGCAGCTTTATCTCAAATGTAAGGCACTCAAAATGTGTTTTATTTTTATTTTCTTTGGAAACACAGCTTCGAAAAACAATTTTATAATAATAAGTGTATTTAAAAACATTGATATGATTTATTTTCATATGCTTTAAACCTTAAAAAGAAATTGAAATAGAACATACTCCATATCTTTTATGTATCCTGGGGCCGGCATAGGATAATCATTCCAGGCAGCAATGAATGAAGTTAAAATGCAGCTTCCAATAGCGATTACGAGTCCTAAAATAGTTCCGATAATTCTCCACCTGTAAGAGAAAATAATTAAATGTGTTTTTCAAAAGCTCCGTAGTAGCATGAAATGATGCATTTTTGCAAATTATATTATATTTTTTATAACTGATGTAAATTTTAAACAGTTACACATAACCGTTAGATCAAGTTTTACCTATGTTTAGCCAGCGTCCTTCATGCTTACTCTGAAAATGGGACAAAAAGTCAATATGGAGAAAGGCCACAATTTTGAGAAAATGTAGCGTTTGTGGTCAAATTTTCTAATATTTAGAAATTTAGTCCAATGCTGCATTATCTGGGCTCATAAAAATTTGCAAAAACTTAAAATAAATCAATATTTTGATAATTTTCAACTAGGTGGGAAGATTTCGCTAAATTGGTGATATTTAAAAAAGTTTAATAAATTTTAAAATATTTTAGTTATTTGTTCGTTCTAAAGTCCAGATAATTTTTCACTGCAAAGACGACTCATACAGTTTAAAATTATGTCTTTGCTTCAAGTTTAAGGCACTTAAACTGTGGTTTTTTTATTTTCCTTGGCGAAAGAGCTTAAATGAAGCATTTAAGAAATAAATGAAAATTCTAGCAGCTACGATTTAAAGGTTTCAAAAATGTCTTCAAAACCTAGTAACCCTGCGATGTTCTACACTGAACACACTTTCTGAATCTTTAGAAATCAATATTTAAATACAATTGTAATTTTGAAAATTGTCTGAATGCTCAATAAAGATGTTTCCAATTTAGAGAGGGCTTTTGTTTTTGACTTTCAATAAATACTAATTTACCTCCCCCCTTGCGTTCAGTCTCTCTTCATCTTTAACAAGGATTTTAAAAGTATGTATTAAGTAGGCCATTACAGAACACAGTTTAATTGGGTACTTTCATGTTCACTATGAAAATTGAAACACCATAGAAACAATTTATAATCAAGGACATATTATAATATATTATAATTACACTGGCAAAGCAAACATTTTTGCTAGAGAAAACTTTTAGTTGTTGAATATTTTAAATATTTTTCAAGAAAATACCGAATATTTTAATTAAATATTTTGAAAGAAAATACCGAATATTTTAACTAATTTGCAAGAAAATACCGAATATTTTAATAAATATTTTGCATGAAAATACCTAATATTTTAATTAAATATTTTGCAAGAAAATAACCGAATTGCGTTATAGTAAAAGATGAAATAGTAAATTCTGAAATAGCTTCTTTAACTAAGGTGATGAACTATAATTGCAAGTTGATTTCCTTGAGCTAAAAACGAAATTCTTAAACTTCCACAAAACAAGTTAAGAAATCTGTTTTTGAAATTAGTTTAATACATAATGTGTAATTATTAAATAAGTTAATGATCCAGTCATTAAACAGAGTTCTTACCTATAACAAATCAATAAAACGATGACTCCAACAAGATGAAACTGCATCAATGCTGCTAAGTACCAAGTATGTATTACACACTAGAGGAAATAAAGAATAATGAAACTCTTTCAGCAGAAAATTTATAGTACTAGTAAAAAATAAAAAAAACTTACGAAGTCCTCAGCTCCCCACCAATTGTTGATGTACAAAATATTAGTCCACCAATGCTTCTCGCATGCTTGTATTGGAGGATTTAAAGTGGAATTCCAAAGAGGGCCAGCATTAATGAGTGGTAAAGCCATGAGCATCAATATCATCAGCACAAGAGCTGGAGTCATTCTGAAATCGAAATAATGACAAGCGAAATTATTTAGTTTTTACTTTCGCAAAACATCGATATCTAAAAATTTATTATTATATTGATGAATTTATATTTTAGTACATGACTAATTTATTTATTTTTGTTTTAACACTGAACATACCATAACCGGTCAAATGACCGTTTAAAAACTTTTGCATCGAAAATGCGCTTATCATCTTATCGTTTTTGCACATTTGACTTCATGAATTCTTCTAGCAATTATATACAGCAGGGCTCGAAAAAACTCCGAAATTTTACCCGTCCCCGAGGACGACTTGTCCAACAATGTACCCGTCCTCCTTTGAAACTAACCCGTAGCTTCTAAATAAATAAAAATATAATTTTCTCTTATTTATTACAATAATTTATATAAATTGCACAATGAATTAGTAGTTACTAGGATTACATTATACAGTAAAAGAAATACTAGGTTACTAATAGTAAAAATTAGTATTTCTTTTATGAAATAATTTTAATGACAAAGGTCAAGTTATCTGGAATGTCAATTTATCCGAGGGTACTGCGTTTTCTAAATGAATCAAATATGACGTTTGCCAGTTCCACAATCAAGCCAATGATTAACAGAGGTTTCTGCACAGAAATATGAAAGGGGTTTTCCATTTAGGTAGATGTTCATAATTGCGTTTAACGCTTCTTGTTTAAGACCAGTACGTAATGTGTTATTTTGTAAGTTCATTGCTGAAAAACCTCTTTCAACAGCTGCAATACTCCCAGACAGAAAAAACATCAATTCCACCATGATCAGTTTGTTGCTGTATTTCTAGATTAGAGGGTCATTTTAGAAGTGAGGCGCTAAACTTTTGTAAGATAACAAAAATTGAAAATGCATCACGAACATTAACGGGAAAATGGCCGTCCGCACGGACGTTGGATTCGAGAAATTTGTTGTCCGCGGGGAATTTTTGACCGCCGAGGACGGGCGGCTTTTCGAGCTCTGATATACAGTTAATATTCTATTATTTTTTTTCGATTAATACTTTTTGCATACCCATTGCTACAACTACCGGTCATAAGACCGGGAGAACAGTTAATTGCTTTCGGATCAGAAATTACGATGTAATGCGTGTTTAACGTACTGCATTCGATTAGTTGCACATTTCTGCAAAAACTGTTGTGTAAATAGTTCAATCAGAATGACTGAATTTAAATTTCAAGCAAGTACCTAAAATTTTAGATAGTCATTTTTGTATAAGAAAAAGTAACAAAAACTAAAAGTTTTGGCAAGTAGCTTATATTTTATATCCTGTTGAAAAATACCGCTTTGACTGCGCTCATGCAATGGCAACAAAACAGGTTGAATCACCAAGTTGAAGTACAAATTTGCAGTCAAGGTGGGTGGAATAACTACGAGAGTACTCCTGCTGTCATAGGAAATTGCTCCCCAGATCATAACTATATTTGTAAGTCTAGTGTGTCTAGGCCGGATACAAATTTATCTGAGTAGTGCCACGTGGCCGCCCAGAACTCAGCCTTTCTGAAGCAGTACCATTCCTTGACCACTGCGGCCAACAATCATGCACAGTGGATACATTTTCTCCCAGTCTTTCTGTAATATCGCGGAAAGATAATCCACCTTCTCGCAGCCCTAATACACGAACACGTTCGAAGTCATGTGTCCGCCTTTGCAAAAGAAGCTCATACAGATAATAAATATCATTTATATTCTTGATGTGACAATTTCTAAGGGAAAAAAAAATTACGTATAACTAATTTATCGCATAGAAGGGCATTGAAAACCTATCACCTCACATTCACGCAACTGATAATGGCTTCTTCATCTTCTTTAAGGGATTCCTTGACTAACAGCAACTCACTATCTCAACATTTAACGAAAAATAACTTACGAACTGTAAAGCACGTATTCAAAGCAACCCAGATTTGCATATTCACAGTGGCGCCATATACTAAAACTTATGCTACAAGCGCGAAATTTGAGTTGACATCGTCTTTTAGTTGTATAAACTAGCCTACCAAGTTTAGTTTATCTAGCACAACTTCTTGGTGTTGTGATTTGCATACATAAAACTGCCAAATTTATACATATATAAAACTGCCAAACTTTTTCGCTTTTGGCGTGTGAGTTTTCAAAAATAATTTAAGTCATAGTGCAACTTATTCTTTCCAAGTTTATAATCGATTCAATAAATTTGATTCATAATATTTTTGACCGTTGATTGATTTTAATTTTACGGACAAGTTTAAATAACTTGAACAAATACATAAGTTCTATCATAATCGTGCTGGAAAGTTTTTAAGTGTTTGTAAATTTAAACATATCCAAATTAAGCATAAATTAATTAAGCATATCCAAATTGTTAAGTCGATACCACTTTAAACTTTTTACTATAGGATTTCCAGAAAGGCATCTATCCCCGATGCGTAATAGATTCCCAGTTTTTTCAGAATTCGGTCTTTTTATTTTACATTGGATGTAAAAAAGAAGAGTTAGGTAAAGACTTTTCCTATAATTTTTCTTCTAATTAAGGTTTAAAAGTATGAAAAATTGTCAACTTATGCGCACATTAATAATGCTACATAGTAAATTCGGGAAAACAAGACTTAAGGAATTAAGTTAATTCTGCATTATAAAACTTACCTCCAATATTTATGAATGAAGAACATAATCAAATTAAGCTTCCCATTATTCCTTTCCAATTTTCTCCATGTAGAGTAAACAAGTAAAAATCCACTGAAATAAGTTGTATGATGAATTGTTTAAAATGTGCTTTAAATCAACACCTCATGAAAAAGAGAAGGTCTCAGAAAAAATATGAAACACGTGCTGCTTAACTGCTCAGTGGCGGAAAATACGCAAGGTGGCATTGCGTTTGGACTACTAAAGGATCAAACTTCTTGCTCATGTTAACCCGTGCTGAGGCATTCTCTCTTCCAGGAGGTATTGCTTAAATTAGTATTCAGAGTATGTCAAAACTATTGGTCACAATTTTAAGGGTGACAGAACTTGCAAAAACAATTTCATGCCATAGTGGGGGATTGGAACGCAAAGGGAGAGCGTTGATAAGTGAAATCTGCTTAGGCAAACAATTGGTACATTGTCTTTCCAAAGAATATATAGGTGAATAGAATATATATATATATTCTTTGAATATATATATTGTATAGAATATATATATTCTTTGGTCTTTCTATACAGATGCGTTGGTGATGGTGGGCTCGTCTCATGGTCTCTAACATCTCCTGATATGCTTTATCTAGATTTTTTTTATCTCCGCGTGATATTTTAAAAAGTATCATTTATGAATATATATCAAATAACCTGAAAACACAATCACCGAAATTAGGTTGAGTTCACAGTGCGAGCTGACGGCAACGCATATGGACATCTAATCTACAGAGTAGAAAAATATTACGGGACAACCCTGAACAACTTATGATCCAAATGATCTTATTTTCACTTTCCACAATTCAAACTTAATGGCTCGATTAAATGCATATTTCGCTATATCTCGAGAACTTTTTAAGGGAATTGAAAACATTTTCCACACAATTATAAAATTCGTTTACCCAAAGATAATTCTATTCAAAAAATAAATTTTAGTAAATATTTATTGTTTTTTATTTCATTTAAGAATGATCAAAAAAAATTCTTAAATAGCCATGTATACAGTTTTTTTCATTATTTTAAAAAATTTAATTTTCTATGGCAAAATAAAAAATTTGAGTTAAATTAGGCGAATAGTTCCTGAGAAATCGAATTTTAAGCATCTGACTTATTTAAAATAGAACCTTAAAATCCTATCATTCAATCAAAAGTTACTTAATTAGATATAGGTCCGTTTTTTGCACATTGTACATGTCCAAATATGGCATCCGTAGTTTAATTCTAAAGAAGTAATGTCAATATTCTGCGCTTGCGCAGATATAAATTTGTAAACTTTTTAATTACAGGGATTCCTTGTTCTTTATTATTCATCGGTATAAGTATGCAGTATTCTCGATTTTCTTTGAAGAGGTGCCTTTTCGTGGCTCATTCGTTTCCTTTCGAATCCACTTTGTACGGTGAATATTGCTTGTTTTGGCAAGATCTATCAATTCTTCAAATTTTGACCTTAAGTTTTGATAAGAAGAGAAAAAGTACCTCATAAAAAAGAAGGATCCAACGGGTATAGTAAAGTTTTCAATTATAGCTAGAGGCAAGTTATGATTAAAGATTGCTTGAAATCCTAATAAGTTTCCTAAAAAGATATGACAGACAATATAAAATCTTAAATAAAAAACTAAAATATAGGAAAAATAATTCATTCAAATATTATGAATTTCCTTCACAATTATTTAGTGATACAGATTGATAAAATTTTAAACAGTATTGAAAATGGTGAGAAGTTTTAGATATTTTTAGGATTCGTAAAAAGTAAAAAAAGGTAATTTTTGCATTTTTTTTTAAAGTTTTTTGCATGCATTTCAACGATAAAATGCTGCGAAATGAAAATTCGTTTTTCAGAAATGAACAATAGAAATTAGTTTACCTAAATTTGAGTTCCTTAATTACATGATACAGCAAGAAAGAAAAAAATAAACTTTTTAAAATTTTAAAGCGAATAAAAAATGCATTAGAATTCCTACACTTAAATTGGCTCTCAAAAATTGAAATTAAATTGACTCAGTGGATTAGGATACATCAAATTTCACACATTACAATATCCAGTCAAAAACAGCAAAATTATTAACAAACAAAGGTTTCAAAATATGGAGGTGTTTTCATTGTCTGGTTTGGGTCCCTTAGTTCCTGTTACTAAAAAAGAATTCTGATTGGTAAGAGGACATTCTCCCAATTCCATTACCGAATTTCGGGGAAGGAGCACTTCCCTTTGCTTTAGGCATAAACTCTATTTACACATTGAACTCTGCACAGACATGCTTTAAGGAAATTGGTGTTAAAAAACTGGACTGGCTTTCTCAGAACCTCGATCTAAATTCTATAGAACAGTTTCGTGATGAATTGGAACACAGACTGCGTAGCCAAAAACAATTGACCTTCCTCAATGCAAGCAGGCTGGCAAACATTCCTTTCAACTGAGATGGACTCCTGGAAGTCGATTCCAATGGTCACTCATCAAAAATGAAAGGTATGTGTCCCCAGGGGTAAGAAAGCTGTCAATGATACAAAAGAGGATCCAACATCATAACATATACCTCAGAACTCTTCATACCATAAAGTGTCTTGATATTGTTGACTGTATGCAATTTTTTTTGATAAAAATGGTCAAAATACAAAGACAGCAAAGAATTTCAAAAGAGAATAACTCTGCAAATTCTCTTTTGAAAATTTCTTAGAAAAACAGTGGGAATGAACTCCCATATACAATAGCATCTAACACTTTTTTGTTAAATGTCTGCTTAACAATACTGTTTATCAACAGACTTAGGGGAGAGATAATCCACAATGATGTTTTATGATTTCTTTTTAAATTTAATACCATTTTTCATTCTTAAATTATTTTTCAACAATGATTTTTTTCTTTTCATTGTACCACATATGTTGTCCATCAGAAAAAATTCCAACCAGTTTATAATATGATCACAAAAAGGTTAATATATTTTATATCAAAACCGGCGTTGAGCAATCTATTCATTTTTGGGTTTACGATTATGAATAACTCCGTAACCTTGTAACTTTAAGAAAAGTTTGATACAGAAAGTTACCTTATGTAATACCATTGTTTGAAGGGGGGAAAAACAATACTACATTTTTACCAATAATTTGCTTTTGGTTGTTAACGTCACACTAGAGCTGCACTAATGGGCTACGCTTTCTACAATTCATCCTAAACGATGATGTGAAGACAATACTGGTTTCCTGTGTCCTCTACAATATCACAATATAGATAGGAGAGCAGATAGATACAGTAATCAACTTCCCTATCACCACGCTTCCCTATCACCAATACAAGTGGAATTTTCCAGCTCTGAAACAACTGAGGATATTGAATTAAAGTAGATTACAAACAGCTGAGCCGTAATCTAAGACAGCATTCCGAACCTTTAGCTCGGGGAATCGAACCACAGTCCAAACAGTGGTAGGCAAAGATTCTACCCTACTCGACGGGATAGCTCGATTTTTTTTATAATTCAGTTTCTTTGAGATTATTGAGCTAGTTAAGTAAGTCTCAAAATTGATATGAAATACTTAGAGTTGTTAAAGTGTATGTTTAGAAAAATTATGTCAGAGATGTAAGCAAGAAAAAAAAATGTTCAAAAGAAATCCACGAAGAATTATACTTAAGAAAGGAGAAATTATGTTCCGGGAACTATATAATTTTAAGAACAACTCAAGTTCTTAAACTCTCTTCATTAAGCCTTAAAATTGTGTATAATTTTAAATAATAATCTAAATATAGCTTACTATATTTCAAATATTTCCAAGTATCAGTAAAAAAATAAGTATGACCCAGAACTATCCAAGTGGAAGACAGAAATCTCATTCCATGAAAACATCCCAAAGCTCCACCATCAGGAATATTACTCATCAACTTCTCAGTATTTGTGTAGATTGAAAAAGCTTTCAAAAATCTCACCAAATCTATAAAACAAATTTCATTTTTAATCGACTCATGTAATAAATAATTTCAAATCATAATACCACCAAATTATGCAGTATTGTCGAGCATTTCAATCTTATATCAAATTATTTGAAATCAACGAGTAAATTGACTAGAATTATTAAACTAATCACAACTTAAATATTTTCTAATATGAAAAACTACTAATTTTAAAAGCATTATTAATCATAATTTCATAACTAAAAAATATTTCCGGAAACTTACGACAATACGAATGTTGACGAATTGTGATGATATCAGCTGTAGTTCCCAGAAAGCATAAACCAGCAATAACCATCATAAAACATCTGAAAGCAAAGTTTGTCATCATACAGATATACAAAACAAAGCTACAGTATAAAATTGTTGGTCATTGAAATAAATTTTTTAAATACAGCAATTTGAATGTTTCATTTATCATATGAATTCAAATTTTGATGCGCAGCTTTAAATGTTAAACCTCGTTTTAATTCCAAAACAGATCGCACTTTTGAGTCATACAAAGAGACAGTTAAAGAGTTTAAAACATTGTTCTGAGTAACAATTTTTAATTAAAATTAAGATTTCTTGGAAAAATATCTTATTTTAATCCATTGCAACGTGGGTCCATGTGAATTATAACTGAAATAATGTCTATTTTTACATGATAAACAAAGAGATAAACATGACACTATGCAACATTATTTTGACCAAGCCGTCAAATTTCAGAGGTCTCAGAGGATAATTGTGCTAAGTGAAAGACCTTTAAATTCATTTTTTACTTTATAACAGTCATTGCATGAGCAGCCGATTCGATGTTTGGGTTTTACGACTTTTGAGGCTCAACTCCATAGCCTTGAAGTTTTAAACTCAGTCAAGAAGACAAGGGAACTCCTGGTTCAAGCATTGAGAAATATTTGCCTTCAAGGAGGAGTTTTTGATAGAAAAAAAATCGCATTTACATTACATGGTGAGGAAAATCACAAACTTTCCACGGTTTTAGCCTAATGGCAAGGTGACTTACCCATGATCTGTCTACCACTGAGGATATTTAATGTCGTCACTAAGGTCTGTGCAGCCGAGTGTGGAATTCGAATCAACCATCGCTAGGAATCGAGCCTGGTTCCCCTCATTGAAAGGCGAACATTCTACCCCCTTGAGCAACCACAGCCCAAGTTCATTTTTAGAATAAAAACAGATTTAATGCACATTTGGCAATAAAAGAGTGAACGGTAATCTTACGAAGCCTTTTTTGTCGTCATATTAAAACGCCAAAAGGGTGAACACTGACACACATCTATCCACGAGACGAAATTTCCTCATTTGGCAACAGATGCAGCGTTTGGTTACTGGTACAAAACAAAAAAAAGAGTATCACCGGCATTTTGTCAATAACTTTGTAAGTAATGCCAGTTGGATAAATGCTGAGATATGATTTTTTTTACTTAAGTGTCAGATATTTATGTTGTTGCTGCTTATCCCCTTGGTCTAGAGCCCTAGACCAAGTCCAGAAGATCATGTCGCATCAGCGATGGCCGAGCAATGACAATAGGCATAAGTTTTTTCGCTCGCTCTGAAGGTCAAACATTTTATATGGCCGGTCCTAAGTCTTGACAAATCAGATATTTATAGATTTCCTTAACTGGAAACTTATGGATATGAAATATAGACAAAGCATAATCTTTGTTACTTAGCGCACGAAAAATAGTAATATATAAGCTTTGAAGCTACTTTTATTCAGATTCACTGAAAAGTCGCTTAGAACGCTCGCCTATTCAGGTCTTCGTAAATTAACGTAATTTATGAAGAAAAATCGTAAATTTATGAAGAAAAAACTATAAATTTTTCTTTATACTTAGTCTTACAGAATGTACAGTGCGCAAAAATATAGACAGACAACCCTGAATAACTTTTGATGTAATGATCGGATTTGCATGTTCTAGGACTCATAAGCGCAGAATATTTTAAGTTGCGAAATCAGATACAAAATTAACTTTCTCTAAATATACATACCCTTTATTTCAACAGATTAAAAATCGTAAGGATGGTACCCAGTAGATGATTTTTGGTTAAATAAAACGGATGTATAATTCTTCTGATTGAGGTTATTTTTAAAACTTATTTTTTAATCAATTGAATATCCTTAATATTGGAATTGATTTAAATTTATTAAATGTGACTAATCACACGGATGATAAGTGTTCATTAAATTTTTTAAGAAATTGAGGTTAATATTTTGAAATTCGATGAGTAAATTTTGCTCCTTGTTAATTAAAGTAAATAATGTAATCATCCTGTAACAAATATTTTTACTTGCTAATTATTAATAATGCGATTTTAATCAATGATATTGCAAAAAAATTGCGCATTGTTTTATCTGATATTCATGTTGATTTTCATTTTTTTTTTATAAAAAAATACTTTTTCTTTTGAAGAAAAAATAAACGGTACTTACACAGCTACGAATGCAGAGTAAGGCCATGGGTTTGGTTTTTCAATCTGGCAATCAGCGATAGATACTTTCATCCCTAATGGCTTTGTAACTAAAATTGTGAAATATAGCTCATATTAATACAAATATTTTATGTAAAGAAATCTCACACACATTAACCCATTAAAACCTGATTTTTTTTTGTATACCATGACGCAAAAAGTCTATTAAAAGAAATTTTTTTTTTTTACTAAATGAATATTTTTTTCTGTTAGCTAATACTTGATATTTGAAAATAAAAACATTTGCTTGATGTGAAAACAGTCTTTTTTCAAATCAAAAGAAATCTCCAAATTACCGTGACGTATATGTCATGCTATGTCAAAATGGGTTAAGTGGCATATTTAAGAAATAAAGTGGTTTTTAAGTTATAGTTCGGTCTAATTAGGTTTAAAACTAAACCGACTACGAATGACGGTCAAATTGAAAAAGCAATTTAAGAAAAACAAGAATTTGTCAATTGCTAAGGTAACTATTTATTCTTCACACCAAGTTTTTCCATTTATTACGCTTTTTCCAACAGATAGCACAGCTTACTATAAAATGAAAAAATTTTGTGTGTACAGACCATTCCAGATGAAATATTTCCTCAGATGTGTATTAATTTCGTTTTTAGACTACAGCATATAGAAGTTTCTTAAAAAACTTACTGTTTCTCAATAAGCAGTGCCATCAACAAACGACTTTTAAACAAGATTTAAAGTTTATCAAAATTAAATTGTCTTGTTTCCTCTGCTGATAAAACTCATAATAATACGAGGTGTGTTTTTTTTAAGTAGGAGCCGCTCTAAAATAAAAATCAAACGAAGGAAAATTTTAAAGAAACAAATTTATTTTCATATTCTACAGACGTTTTTCTATGCGTCAACATAATTGCCAAGTTTGTTTAAGCACTTGTAATGCCTTACTGGATTTAGAATTTAAAGGAACTTCCTGTTTGCTCCGATAACCACGAGGTCGCTGCCGTTTTTCCGTCTTCGTCATCATTGTAGTGGTTACCGGCGAAATTGTGTTTGAAATATCGGAAAAGATGAATATCGCTCAGTCTGGGCTACAGGGCGGAGGATGCAGAACTTCCTAGCCGAAAGAGTCCAATAAAGCGCTGATCTGAGCTGCATCGAGTTGCAAAATTCCCAATCAGTAAAGCAAAATCTACCAATGTTTGCAGCAGACAGGATTTTTTGCCGACCAAAGAATGCCTCACTGTCTGTATCTCGTACGGGTCGGCGATTCAATAATCATACACATAATACACAAAACACAGTTCAGTAATCCAAACGGTTGTTCCCGAGGAATGCCGGAACACAACGCAAGTACTCATTGCGGTGTTCGCGACATCTATTTGTGTACATAACAAAACGGTCCTTGCTTGCAAAACATGCCTCGTTTTCCTTTTCAATTTTTGCTAATAATTTTTTTCTAATCGTGTTATTTTTGGCAAACTAGTCAACTTAAAAAACGCTTCAAAATAAAGTATCAAATTAGAAGCCTAAATATGATTGGACGTAACAACAATAACATCAATCTGATTAAAACGAAATAGTGGAAGTTGACATACCTTGCGATAAGAGCTTCGTCATATCTTCTTGAGAACATGTGGATGGAACACATGTTCCAAGCCAAAATGCAACACGTTTCAAGTAACCTCCAGCATTAATGATCTCCTTAGCTATCTGGAAGAGGACATTTGTAATAAGAAAATTATTATTCACAATAAATTAGATAAGTTATTCTGCGATAAAAATAAACTGAAGTTAAAGAAGATTTTACTTACCAATCTTCTGCAAAAGTAAATAAATTTTTTGGATGTGCCGAAATTATAAGGATTTTCAAAAAAAAAATAGTTAAAGCTGTCTTTCGAAGCTCTGTAGCCAAGGAAAATAAAATAAAAATAAATAAAAGCCGTAGACATGAAGCAATGTGATGATTTTTAAACTATATATATAATCTTACTCTGAAGAATTATTTGGGCTTTAGAAAAGACAAATAACTAAAATATATTGAAAGTTATTAAACTTTTCTTAAAAATCGCCAATTTGGTGACATTTCCCCAACTAGATCAGATGTTACCAACTGGCGGCCCGCGGGCCGCATCCTGCTGGCGATGCTTTTTTTTTTGTGGCCTGCGAACTAAAATATATTTGCAGTCATTTTTCGCGGACAATTTTCGTAAAAAATCTATATGAGCTTAAAATACTTTTCTTTCGTTGAAGAAACTTATTTTCTTCGTTTCTGTGAAATTTAACATACCAACGATGCAAAAAAAAATTATTTCTCATGTTTTGCATCCAAGAAAATATTTATTCAAACACAAAAATAATCAGGTATGCTCTTGTATTTTGTGTATATAATTTAGCATGTGAGTATCTGAAAGTAAATCTAACAGTAATATTTAATGTTCCTTCAAACGTAAAAAGTCCTACGTAAAATTTTGATAAAGTGGCGACCCGCATTTTGATTGGTGTTTTTAATTGCGGCCTCAGGCTTCAAGTAAGCTCGAAACCCCTGACCTAGATGAAAATTATCAAAATGACTGCTATTTTTTTCAGTTTTTGCAAATTTTTATGAGCTCAGTAAATGTATCATTGGAGTTAAGTTTTAAATATTAAAAAAGATCACAAATGTTTTTCATTTTCACAAAACTGTGTCTTTTTCCATATTGATGTTTTGTGCCATTTTCAAAATAAGAATAAACAGCTCTGGCTTTTAATATGCTAAATTTGTTACTAACTCACAGCAGTTATAAAAATAGCATATTATTCGCAAAAAAAGCATCACTTCATATTACCTCGGAGCCTTTGAAAAACAGCCTTAAGGATGAAAGAAGATAGAAATTTACAGTATACTGCGTTCTGGTAAGGAAACTAGACTTTTTATTCTTAAAAATTTAAAATACAATTATTAGTAATGTTCGTCAACATGTGGTTCTTCTGGCAAAAACCACAGCATAACACTTGAAATATTAGTACGAATGAAGAGGTCTAGAGGGTTCTGAGCAATTTGACTCAAAGTATCAGATAATACTCAAAAACTCCAAAGTTTCAACAAATATACTGAATCCTACTCATTAAAAACAGAAAAAATACCACGCATTCCAATTTTTAAAATGGAATTGTCTACAAACGAGTATTTTGTACGATGTTATTCATTCTAAATTTTGTCTTTAAATTTGTTTTTCCTAATACAAATTTTTTTGCCTAGTGTGCAAGATTTCTCAACTTCTAATAAAACTATTAAGTTAAAACTTGGTAATTGATTTGAGTTGTTGCCTAAATTCATACTTCAAACTAATGCTTAAATATTAGGAAATATTTTATATATATTTTGGTCAAATTAATTTTTTCTAAAACGATTCAAAAATTGTTTTTTTTTTAAATAAATTCATAAAATGTTTTTTTTATTTTTAAACTTCTTTGAATTACTTTTCTTTTTTCAAAAAAAAGAGCAAATTTGTCAGCCTATATATAAGTTGTTTCCAGCCCTTAACACGATTTGTATGACTCATCGTGAGCACAAGGAGTCATAGTATCTTTCTTTCCTTTCAAATTTTAGTTTTAAAATAATTAAGTTGTAGTTTTATGCATTGTTTAATTAAAGTGCTTGCATTTAAATAATATCTGCTCTTTGCTCTTTTCCTTTAAATTTCAGTTCTAAAAAAATTAATTATAAAAGCTTTATGTATTGTTTTATAAAAGTGTTTGCATTTAAATAATATATGTGCTTAGGTTAAACCCCTGTAAAAAAAGTCAATCCCTATTCAGAACGAAACTGGATAAGTTATAAAGTAAATAAAATTATACTTAAACTAAAATCTTACCCATTCTGGAGGATACCCATAGGAATCGATGTATTTCTTCCCAGAAGAACTGTTAGGAGAAAATGGGCTAATTAATGGAGATGAATATCCAACCATACAGTATTGTCCTCTGAATGACAAGGAGGAATCGTTGAATCTTATTTTAAGGCATTCGTCATACGAACCGAAATCCATAACTGTTCCTTCCAATATCCCACTTGGTAGTTTACCACTAGAGTCGACCACTATAAATTAACACTACTGTTAAAATTGTAATCATTTGCACAGTAAACAATAAGGGAAGAAAAAAAAATAAGAATCTAGACTTTTCATAAATATTCTATAAAAAAATTCTTGATACGAGCAACATATATATCTAGGAGATATTCTTTAACCACAGCAATTATTTTAAAATCGCTGTAATAATGACGCAAGTAATTTATGCACATTAAGAATCACAAATATATACTTCCCTTAATAAGTAAAAGCAAAAATATTATCAAAATGTCAGGAATCATTGTATTGATGGTTTTATATTTTACTTTACAACCAGCGTAGAAGAGCCAGCCAATTCTTATTTTACGACTACCAATGTTCAACTCCATAGCTTTATAATTTTGGACCCAACCCAGACGACAAGGAAACTCTTAGATTAAGTATTGGGGCAAACTTGTCTTCGTAAAAGACTTTTTAATGGAACTAACCAGTGTCTCCCATGAGAGAGAAGGCCTCAACACGGGTTACCATAAGCAAGAAATTTTTCGTATATTTCCCCACAGCACAGCTTAGTAGCCAGAACGTAATGACATCTTTCTTATATTTCCTTCACCGCTTAATTTATCTTCGTTACGTCAGGCTACTAAATTGATGCCTTCTATCTCCTAGATTTAGAATTAACTCGCGTTTGCGTTACATAGAGAAGAAAACTGAAAATCTCCCACAATTTGTCCAACGGCAATCCGGGGATTCTAACCCATTTTCGTCTACAACTGAGAATATTTTATGTCAGCACGGTGGTTGGTACAAGCTGGGAGGAGAGTAACTACCAGCCACCACCGGAATTCGAACCTGAGACACCTCATTGGAAGGTCTATCTCCTGAGTCATCGCTGCTCCTGTAAAATATCTAGCCCAGTTTTAGTGCCAAATGAAATTTCAAGGATTTTTTTTAAAAATTGATTCTGAGCCTAAAAATTGTCTTAATAAATGTACAAGCTCAAATGTTTTTAATCAAGTCGTCCTCCTTCAGTAGCTTTGCAAGTTCCTACGATGAAGCGCTCCTTCTATAACTTTTATTTTATTTTGCTTAAATTTGCGACTCTTAATGTATACTTATTCCTAAGTTATATTTGATACTGAAAATTTTTTTCTCCAAAACATTAAATTTAGATTCAAAAAATTTAATACAATTAAAAACATTAAGTATTTTTTATACAAAATTTTAATGCATGAAAATAAAATATAATTGTAGTTACAATTATACGAATATTTTCAGCATAAGTATGGCATTCACTGTAACAGTCTGAGATACATAATTTTTGTTGCAGAACTACACATATTTCCAGTTCTGCATGCCTTTTAGCATCATTTTTTTAAATCAGAATTTTCTGTTATTATGTAGGTAAATAAGTTTCAAGCTCTCATTTATTTTAATACATACAACTCTAAGAGCGGTTTATATTTAGCATCTCACATGTTTACAAATCGTGCTAAGTTTTTAAAACATTTTCTTTTTAATTTATTAAAAAATAATTTAATAAACGCTTTTAGACAGGATTTCTTAAAGTAGAAAAGGAGCTTAAAAAATTTCAACAGTTTCTGCGATAAATTTTAGAACAATAATTAAACCATTACAGGTTAAAACTAACATGATCTTATTATCAATGTTTATTTTGGTTAAGCAAAATACTTGTACACTACCTGGAAAAAACTTCTATATAACTGTAAAACTTTACAAATATTAAAAAAATAATAATTATTATCTAAAGTGGAAGTAAATAGAAGAAAATATATTCACTCAGTTTAATGTGTTTTCTTTTTCTTCCGAAGATCGCACCGTCACGGGATATACTTTGTGAGTAATATTCTAATTTTTTAACTGATGTGAGTTTGATTACTGTTACACATAGTTAAGCCTGTGATCAGTGCCAGGAAATTTAATAATGAAAATGGCGCAAAACAGTAATATAAAGTATAGCCATAGCTTAGTGAAAATAAATTGCTCACGTAAACAAATTTTTTAATATTTAAAAATTTGATCAAACGCTTCATTCCCTAGATTCACAAAAATTTGTAAAAAAAAAAACAATTATACATTGATTTTTATCATTTGTATTTGGGTGGAGACACCCAGTCAAAATGTTGATTTTTAAAAAAGTCTTTTTTACTTTTTAAAATCTGAAAGTTTTTTTTTTCGTTCCAAAGGTTTCAATATTTAAGACAAAATGACACATGTAGTTCAAAATTATGGCTTTACTTGAAGTGCAAGGCACTTAAGGGGAACAACTCTATAAAATTTTCGAAAAATTGGGAAACAAAACTTATTGAAGTTTTCGATAGTTTATTCTTTAAAGATTCGAAATAATGTTAAAATTACAGCAAATATGTCACTCGCGACCCCCTGTGACAACACTGCGTGACACTGTGTATGAACAATTGAACTTCTGCGCTCAGTTGAGTTTAATAGATTTGAAGAAAACGCTTCATCAAAATATTCTCATTTTAACTATTTCATTTAAATAAATTGTTTAATTTATGGAAAAAATAAATTAATGGTACTTTCAATGTAAATAATTGGAATTGCAACTTATGTAGCTGTAATAATTTCTAATAAAAGTTGCAAAGGAATATTGACAGTTTTAGAGCTATTGGAAATAAATGTAGGCCCCTTGCATCCAAATAGTGTGATCAAAATGAAGATGACAGCAAAATTTCGACTGCTACTCTAAAAATATATGAGGCCTCACATGAAGGTAGATAGACAAGAAAAAGTGCTAGACAAGCACTTGAAACTTTGAAAAAATTGGAGCAGAAGTATCTTACGGACCTAGCATTGATGCATTATAGTTAGTTGTATGGATTATTGATTACAAAATTTTAAACGTAATTTGTTCGATACTGTTTTTTTACTTATTGCACCTCTAACCAGCACAATTTTAAACCGATTTACTTCAAATTTTGACCTAATGTTCTTAATAAATATAGTTTTCATTTCACGTAGGGATTTTTAATTGTGTTTGATATAGTCACGAAAATTTAGCTTTTTTTCCCCTTTTTTAAAATTTTTAATTATTTTCTTTGTAATTTTTTAAAATTTTTTTGCCAACTCGCCAAAAAATTTATTTTTCAAAACTTCTACGTGTAACGAAAACTACATTCAAATCGTTTAGAAAAATCAAAACGGAATCAAATTTGGATGATTTTTACAACTGATGAGAACAGCAAGCTATGACTAATTTAAGAAATGAGTTATAAATATTGTAAAAGCGCTACTTTTTTAAATTTTTAATTGTGACATAAAATTAAGATTAAAATACGTGCTATAAAAAATGTGCTAAGCTTATCACAATTGCAAAACTAATTACTAAATCTTTTTCTTTTCCTTCAGGATTCTACTAAGTTGTACCCCCTTAAAAGGTGGAAAAAATCGTGCGTTAATAAGTTAATAGAGGGAGTGGCCCTTGACCATTCAAGTTGGCAATCCACTACTACTTTCTCGCATTACTTATATAGAACATATTTGTAAATATCACGTTTACCAGACGAATGTCTGAATAATTGATTAGCTTTTACCTTCATTACGAATTTATATAGTGATGAAATCGAACCTTATCTCCCAAAATAAATCAGCTCGGAAAAAAAGGTTAAATTAAGACAGCCTTTCCCTCACATTAAAAAACGGTGATTAAACGCAAGTGGTTAAAAAATAGGTAATTAAGATTTCAGTACTCCGCGAAACTACCTCATAGTTAAAAATATAGGTTCTCAACCATTTTGGGGATTACCGCACCACTTTGCGAGTCAAAAAAAATTCAATGTCTCCAATCAAAATTACAAATACTGCATTGTACTTTTTAAATATTTTTATTGCGAAACACTACTATAATCATACCTTTAACTATTGAAAATATACTCAATGACTCATTATATTTTCATTCGAAATCTTTTTTTAATACTGTAACGAGCGTAACTTTGACCGACATTGTGGCGTTAATCTGAACTGTTTGAACCACGAGATGTTCTTTAGATGTTTCTTTTTTGTTTCTCTTTTTAGTTTAAGCACTTTAAGAAATTTTTTTACCCTGCACCTAATCTTTAAGATTCTTTATAAACAATTTTTATGGCTGAGTACATTTGTGTTATATTGAAAGAAAGAAATTGTACCATTCAATTAATTTAATGGTTAACCACTAACTTTGGTGTTCCCGACTATAACTCCATATTGTATTACAAAAATTATTTTATTACATTCGAGTCTGAGTAACACACGCCATAATATACAGCTTATAAGCTTAAAACTAGATATATACATTTAAAACTAGATATATATATTTAAAACTAGAAAATGGTTTATTATTATTGTTTAAATTTAAACAATGGTAGAGTTTACCATTCCCATGTGAAGCATTTATTAACACTAAAAAAATATTTGCAAAGTTTTCAAACTAGACTAAAATTTGTTTTATATAGATATATATTAAAACAGTGTTTACAAAGGTAAATAATGCATGACTCTGCTGTATATTAAGATAAGTCTTTAGAACATATTCATGAAAATGTATAGTTTCTTAAAAATCACTGCTGTTTTAAATTTAAAAAAGAATACTGAAAATTATATTAAAAAAGGGCTAGGAAGAATTTTTTTTTAATGAAGGCGTTGAAATTACAATTTAAATCGAAACTTTTAGTCATTTGATTTAAAGTGTTAACTCTTAGTGTGTTTAGTTCTTTTTAAAATAATTTTTTTTTCGAAATACTATTACAAAACATTAATAATTTTGATAAAATATCATCTTGAGCTACAGTTATAGCTTTACTAGTTGAATTTAAAAAAAATATTTAAAGAAGTAAACTTTGTTTTTACTTTTATCTTTATTTTATACTAATTCATATCATTGAATTCAAAAACAAATATGTTTTCTACATTTTTTAAATGAACGTGAAACACAGATCGCTATCAGTCTGAATAAAAATCAGATAAAGAAATAAAATAAAATCTGCTATCAGAAAAAATAAAAAAAACAATG